AGAAATTTGGGTTTGGTTACGGCTACTCCAAAGCCACCAGGGAATTCTAATGATCATGAAGATTGGAGGACCAATAATTCTCTACTTGTCTCATGGATCCAAAACACGATTGAACAATCTCTCAGAACCATAATCTCACATATGGAGATGGCCAACAAATTGTGGGATGATGTTAAGGCACAATTTTTAGTGGTGAATGGCCCCCGAAACAAATAAAAAGGGAGCTCATGGCATGCGATTAACATGGTCTGAGTATCGTAACTTACTATGGAAAATTGAAGAAATTATGGGGAAAGGATTACTGGATTGGCCATAGATACTTAAGTTAAATCACATTAAAAGATTGAATTCAATCGATTACTAAGTTCAACTCAAGATCTTATATAACAATTATTTTTCTATTCAATTTTCAATGTGGGATAGACTCTAACACTCAACTCAAGTGGACAACCAGACCATTTTGAATTTAATCGATTGACCACTTGCAAATGGACCCTCAACCGGACCATTTTGGATTCCTGTATATATTCATCTTTCTGTACAAAGTTCTCCAAAAAAGAAATATTTCCACAAACCTTTCATGGTATCGGCGTTTGACAAAATTTTGATTGTGATATAGCCGATTCGAGGTAGCGATCGATATGGCCAATGAAACGTGAAAAAATATTGGCAAAAAGGTTGACTCGGGCGAAGGATCGGATACTCCTCAACAACGAACGATCTCACCATATGATCTTCATGCTAATGACAGTCCAGGTTTGATTATCAGTCAAGTCACTTTGAAGGAAGAAATGGGCACGTGCCATACGCATGGCTCTTCGAACTCGAAAGAAGTTCGGGTTTGTTGATGGCTCAATTCCGAAGCCACCAGAGGATTCTAGTAATCTTGAAGATTGGTGGACCAATAATTTTCTACTTGTCTCATGCATCCGAAACACGATTGAACCGTCTCTAAGAACTACGATCTCACATATGGATATGGCCAACGAATTAAGGAACACTTTTTGGTGGTGAACGGCTCCCGAATCCAGCAAATAAAAAGGGAGCTCGTGGCATGCGATCAACATGGTTTGAGTATCGCGACTTACTATGGAAAATTAAAGAAATGATGGGGAAAAGGATTACTGGATTATGTCATAAAACACTTAGGTCGAACCACATTGAAAGATTGAATCCAATCGATTACTAAGTTCAACTCAAAAGCTTATATATCGATTATTTTTCCATTCAACTTTCAATGTGGGATAAACTCTAACAAAATACTTAAAAAATTGGATAGTAAAAATGAGTGGCTATAGTTTTTTTAGATTATATATATATATATATATATATATATATATATATATATATATAATTACTTGAAAAAATAAAAAATTAAAACTTATATCAAAATAAGAGTGCTAAAATGTGAAACGCTGGACATTCATTTTATATCTTTTGGCATTACATGTTGTCACATTATTCTACACTATAAGTCATATTTTGATTTAAAAAAATGAAATATTTCATTTTGGTATAAGAAACATGTCTTAGTCTTAATTTGATTTTTCTTGTCAAATCCAACATAATGGCTTTTGTGTGCCACTAGTGACATTAAATAATATAGTACCTCGTCTCTAATATTTATTTAATTTTGATTTTTCACACTAACTCTTTTAGAATATTTGACCTTGAATTAAATAGAAGTTATATGATACTCCTTCTGTTCCAGTGTATTTGTCCAGTTTGACTTTTTCGAGTCAAACTGAACAAACTTTTAGCTTCAATTAAATAAAAACTGTAATGTACGGAGTATTTTAACATAAAAATGACTTTATTGGATTTATCGTATTGAGAACTGTCTAAATTGTATTTCATTACGCTAATATGCAACAAAAATTGAGAGTAATTGAAGTTCAAAGTTTGTCCAATTTGACTCGAAAAAGTCAAACTCGACAAATACACTGGGACAGAGGTAGTATATTAATATGATAAAATAATATTTTGAGCATATTGTATAAAATAAATGTAATAAAATAATTTTGTATGAATATCTAATACTAACTTTACTTAGTAACTTGTTAAAATTTAGCAATTTTGACTGTAAAAATTTAAAACTGAACAAATATTAGTAACTAGATAAAAATCTATTCATTTTTTGCACTCAGAGCATTACGTAGTACACGTCCGTCCCAGAGTACTTGTCATATTTTGACTTTTTTTGGTCAAAATTGGTAAATTTTGACCCTAAATTAAATAAAAATCATATTAGATATTGATACAAAAGTAATTTTATTAGATTTATTATGTAAAATATTTTCAAAATATTATTTTATCTAATTAATATACAATATATATATTATTTAATTATAGGTCAAAGATTAAAAACAGTATATTAAAAAAAGTCAAAACTAGACAAATAATCCGGGACAGAGGTAGTTTTATGGTATCTCTACTCTACTTTTTAAATTTTTCTAAACCATTGGTCCATAAATTTCACAATAATCATATTTTCTTCATCAACCCTCAATTGGTCTCCATATATACAGACACATATTTTGATGGAAGATGAACGAGTGAAAATGGAACATTTCTGAAATAAATTTGAGGCCCCAAAACAATGAACACGTGAAGGCTTCAGCAGGAAAGTTTTCCCCCCAATTATCCCAAATGTCTGTTGTTTTAATGAAACGGATACACTCCTTCCGTCCCACTTTAGATTACAATATTCCATTTTAGTTGAAATTAAGGAAGAGTCAAATCAAATTTTTTTTCCCCAAATTACCTCCCAAATCCCCCAAATATCCTTCCACTCACATGGATGAATAGTGTGAATAGTGGCTGGCAGAAAAGAAAAGGGGAGGGTAAAAGAGTCAATTTACTATAAAGTTATTGACTTTGTAATCCTTTTTGGGACAAAAATGTGAGGGAATATTGTAATCTATTTAGGAACGGAGGGAGTATATTATTTAATTATAAGTTAAAGATTAAAAATAGTAGATTAAAAAAAGTCAAAACTAGACAAATAACCCGGGACAGAGGTAGTATTATGATATCTCTACTCTACTTTTTAAATTTCATAAGTTTAAGTCCAGCTCAAATAACACCTCTAACAATTTAAGCCCAAACCTTACCACCATATCATGGGCCTCGAACAAACATGTTCCTTATGAGCAACAACTTTTAAATAATTAAAAAAATATTTTTACAAATAAAGTTATGCGTTAGATATTTGAAATAATAATTACAATGAGAATATCAAATAGAGACTAATATTTAAAATATGTTTTGTTAGATAACGTTATTACTACATTCGGCCTAAAACCTTTTTCCTAGTTCAGTTTATGAGGTTTGATTGAACTCATTTTCAACTTAATTTATTTGATTGTAGGTGTAAAATTAAAAAATCAAATTTATATATTTAAAAACTATATCAAAAGTTTTACAAAATAAGAGGTGACACATGACTATATTATTTTATCAAATAACTAACGAAAATAGATAAAGAGAATGATTCAAGTTTGAATTGGTGAATAGAAATTGAAAAAAAAAAGAACGAAGGGAGTATTATTTAATTTGTTTGAATATCACTATCAATGTGTGATAAAGAGTGAGTAGTACAGAGAAATAAAAATGTATTCAATTTATTAAATACATTTATAATTCCTTTTTTCTCTATAGAAGTATATATGTGTATTTATAATAATTTGAATTATTAATATTATTATTTAAGTTATTGTCATTATTATTTTATTATAATTATGGAAATAATAAATGCTACGAGTAATATTAGTTCCGCTTTAGCTGACAAATGGACTTGAGTCTAAAACCCAAGCTCGGTGCTAAAGTGCACGGGCCACCGATATTGAGTATGGTATGATATCATTTCGTTTCAAAATGATAGGGTACTGGATGATATTGGGATGCATCCCGTACCTATACCGAACCACTTAAATAATAAGTACGTTCTGTGATAGATTTTAGTAGTACCACAAGCTGTTATGAATTTGCCCACTGTAAATATGGATGTCCTTTTATCTAAAAATATACCCTGGACCCATGTACTTATAGAGAAAAATACGAATGAGTATATTTTAAGAAACAACACATCTTTTTCGTCAAACATTCAAATGTTAGTAGCACTTCACACGCTTTAACAATTTTTCCACATGAAACATTGCATCCAATCCTCAAACATTTAAATGTTACTTCCTCCGTTCGGAAATAAAGTTTACGTTTCTCTTTTTTCTCCGTCCGAAAATAAAGTTTACATTTCTAATTTTAACCCACACTCTTCCAAAAATACCCTTCTCCATTTCAATCTTCTCTCCCTCTCTCCCCCCTTCCTCCTCTTCCTTAGTTCTTCTTTTCTTCTTTTTCTTTCTCCGCCACTTTTCAATCCTCTCTCTCCCCCTCCCTCCTCTTCTTCTTCTTGCTTTTCTTCTTCTTTTCTTTCTCCCGACCCTTGTTCTTCCCCCCCACCCCACCCCCAATTGAGGACGAGATGGTGCCAAGATGTTGTGGCTTCCCTGGTGGACGACGATGGGCTATTCCTGGTGCTCATATAGGGGAAGAGAGTCGTGGAGAGCCGGGTCAGGAGGGGCCGAATGGCCGGGCTTGAATCCGGGTCGATGCCGAAGATCCGGAGGCGGAGGGACATCCTCGACGGTGATGCCGAAGATCCGTGGAGATTGGCTCTGGCTTTGGGCCCATCCCGTGGAGGCCGATGCCAAAGATCCGGAGGCAGAGGGGCGGGAGAAGCGCGGCGACCTATGGGCTGTTTACCGATTTTGAACCGTCGGGTCAGGAGGAGACTGGAAAGGGGACATTTTGGTCATTTTACAAGGTTAGTCAACCTCCCTTAAAAATGACCAAACGTCAAAACGTAAACTTCAATACCGGACGGAGGGAGTAGAAAGCAACATTTCAATGTTTGTTGATTTTTCGCAAGACGTGCACTAGAGTATCATCGAATATTCAAATGTTACATGATGTTTTGCAAAGAGAGTTTTTAGAACTTACTTACATTCGAATATTTAATTCACACATTTTGCCTACTTGGACCCCGTCAAGGGCTATTGTCTCTTGATCCTGCTGACAAGAGTTGTCGCTCTCGAACTCCAATTCAGAATTTGTAATATAATGGAACGAGCGTGCTCTCCGCACTTCAAAATTCATTAATAACATGTATTAGAATTATTGTCAAATCTAAGTAAATCATAATAATCCAAAATAATCGATAATACTAAAATTACTAATACATACTCCATTATATTTAAAAATCTCAAAATTATATTTCACTTTTATTGATTTCATTTTCATAATTTTCTCAATATTTAGGGAGAATCTATACTATTTTTACACATTACCCAAATTAAATTCAATGAATGCCAAGAGCTTGCATCCTTCTAACATGTGACAAAGAAGAAGCATTTCTTTTTCTCCATTTTACCCCTGTCTCCTTCTTCAGCCCATTTTTTACAAACCACTCGTCATGTCCATCTAGAATCCTTACAATCTGCCTCATGCTGGGCCGCCGGGTCGGGTCGGATCGTGTACACGCAATTCCCAATCTCACCGCCCGAATAAATTCGCTTTTAATAATCTCTCCGCCGTCCAGCCGCCGGTCGGCTAGATCTTCATACGGCCTTTTGCTCTGCTCAAACTTATGTAGCTTGTGAACCAAGAGCACCTCCGGCCGGCGAAAATCCACCGCCGGTTCCCCGGTGAGAATCTCCAAGAGAACTACCCCGTAGCTATACACATCCGCCGCCGCGGCCGTCGCCTCCCCGGAGTCCATGTGCTCCGGCGACATATACCCGAAAATCCCGCGGACGGATTTGTTCTTGTCAACGACCACGTGGTGGTTTCCCTGCTCGTTCCTGGCCAAGAATTCGGCTAGAGCGAATGAACCGAGCCGCGGGTTCATTCCGGCGTCAAGAACTACGGCGGAGGATGTGATGCACCGGTGGATCACTTGCTCCTCCCATTCTTCGTGGAGGTAGTGAATTGCAGAAGCTAGGGATTTGATTATGTTGTACCGGTGGTGCCACCTGAGTCCGCCGTGCCGGAAAAGTAGGTGGCTGAGTAGACGGGCGGGGGAGTATTCATAGACAACAAGCATCTCCCCGTGCTCCGTACACCACCCTCGGAGCTGTACGAGGTTTCTATGCCGGAGTCGTCCCATGTTCCGTAGCTCGTCGCTGAACCTCGTCCTCAGGGCCGGGCACGTCTTCATCCCCAGCCTCTTCACCAGAATTTCCCCGCCGGCGGCCAAGAATCCTCTGTACGCCGTCCCAAAATCGACCTCTGCAACTCTCCGCCGCTCGGAGAAGCGGTCCGTCGCTTCCATGATCTCCTTAAATGCGAACTCTCTCGGCGTTTCCACCGCCGGAAAACCACTCACCCAATCACGATTGGCGCTATTGTAATTTGTGATGCTCTTCCCAGAAATCCCGGACTCTGCCGATAAATACCCTGTTTCTGCGGAAGCAGAGAAGAAGGTTTCCGGCGATGACCGAGACGAAGATGAAGAGGAAGACGAGAATGAAATATAGAGAGGATGAGATTTGAACGAAGGAGGGTTTGGTAATTTCCCAACAATCTCTCCATTGAGAGCTTCCAAAACCCATTTCATATTGGGTCTTGAGTGAGGTTCTTGAAGAGTACATAAAAGCCCAATTTGAATCAATCTCTCCATTTCAACCAGCCGGAACGAGCCGTCCGCCAGCCTGACGTCTCCGGCTTGCAAAACCGCGCCGTCGTCGGAGAGCCGGCGGACCCAATCAAGGAGCACGATTTGGTCGTCCGGGCAGGCCAGATCCACCGCACGCCGCCCGGACGCCACCTCGAGGGACACGATCCCGAAGCTGAACACGTCGGATTTTGCGGTGGCAATGCTTCCTCGCCTTTGGAAGCTCTCCGGCGGCAAGTAGCCGATGGTTCCTCCGATCTTTGTGGTCTCTGCTAGCCGGAATTGTTGGTTCTTCGTGGATGGTGTTCTTGTTTGAGGCTCGCCGGAACGGCGGCGGTGTTCTTGCCACCGGGCAAGGCCGAAATCGCCTAGACGGGCGTTGAAGCCGGAATCGAGCATTACATTGCTTGTTTTCACGTCTCTGTGGATTATCTGAGTCTCTAATTGCTCGTGCAAGTAGAATAATGCGGCGGCTAATCCCTTTACGATCTTCTTTCTCTTCTCCCAGTCTAAGAAATGCTCTGTTTTCTTGAAGAGAACTCTGTCCAGGCTCCGGTTCGGCATGTATTCGTACACGAGCAAGAGGCGGTCGTCGTCGACGCACCATCCCCGGAGTTTGACGAGATTCCGGTGGCGGAGATGGGCCACCGCCGCGAGCTCCGCCGCAAACGTCTTCTCGAACTTCTCCCCTTTCTCCGCGAGGCAGCACTTCACGGCGACCTCTGTTCCGTCGCTGGGCAAAACCGCTCGGTAGACTTTCCCGAATCCGCCGCTCCCCAGCACTTGATCTCCGGCGAACCCTTTTGTCCCGACGAACAGCTCGGCATAGCTGAAGATCCTCGGGTTGTCGGCGCCGACTCTGTTCCCGGAGATTCCCACGCCGTCGGCATCGTGGAACTCCCCGGAAGACCGATTCTTGCCGACCAAGACTCTGTGCAGGGACTGTCTGATGAAGTCCAGAGCTTGTCCCCCGCATCCCCTGCGGGGGGGTTCCGGCGGACCTGTTTCCCCGGTGGCGGATTCTTTGCCGGGCTTTTGGGAACCGACGGGCTCTGTTTCGTCGGCGGGGAGGATGAAACAGAGGCTTTTGAGATGCATAGGGAGACTATGGAGAAAAAGCTTTAATTGCTTGAAATTAAGGAGGAGGAGAAGCTGTTAATGGATATGGATTGAATTTCATGATGAGAAAGATATTCTTTTTGTAGAGATTTTTTCTCCATCTTCTTCATATATATGGTCGGTGGGTTTATTAATGGATTCCACCCAAATCTCATGGGTCCCGTTTCTTCCTCCCCCAGTCCCACCCCAAAGACAATTCACGCGCGTATTTCTACTTCTTCTTCTTTTTATTTTTTCAAATAAATTTTGAATTCTTTAAATTTTATTTGAAAAATGGTTAAATGTTTAATTGGGAAAATAAAAGCTAACGATTTCAGAAAGGGTTAACAAAGAAAGAATGACAGTTTTGTGACACGAAAGGAGTAGATTTTATTAGATGAACGAAATTGTAAACTTATTAGAGGATTCTTAATGTGTTTTTTCTAGTCACTTTTGTTGAACATCAAGTTAGATTTTCTATTAAGGTTAGAGTTTCTTCAATTTTCTATAAATTAAGATGGAACCTATTTCGAATGGACTAGGTACGTTCTACACCCACTCAAAAGTGTGGCTACGGAAGCGATTCACCCAGTTGGGATACCTACGGTGTTTCATTCGCAAAATTAATACTCCATCCGTCCCAAATTATTTACAACGTTTAATTTGCTTCTTCAGCAGTCGCGGGAACTTTTGTTTATTTCTACGTTTTCATTAGTTATTTAATAAAATGAAATATTCTTGACACCTTTTATTTCCAAGAACTTTTCATGTAGTTTTTTGATATGTAAATTTTATTTTTTATTTCTATACCAATATGTAAATAAAATGAATTGAAAAACTTGATATTTTGTCTCGGGAATACAAGTGTGACAAATATTTAGGGACGGAAAGAGTAGTTTATACTCCCTAACTCCCCTGTGAACCCTTCCACCCAATTTCGACCTCAACTCATCTCTCAATCACGTCAATCGTGGGGCGCGAGTTTAGTTAACTTTGGAGTAAAAACTTTTGACTCCAAAACCAACTAAACTTGTTGCCTTAATTTGACGTGGTTGCAGGGATAAGTTGGGGTCAGGACCAGGTGGGGGAGTGTGGGATTCACTGTGGGAGTTAGAGGGATAGAAACTATCAATTTTACGAACAGAACATGTCTCAATTAGGTGAGTGATTTAGGTAGTCACTCTTTTTGAGTGGGTGTATTTAGAATCCAGCAAATTTAGAATAATCAATTAACAACAGCACCAACCCTAAATCTCTTATCTTTTCTCCGTTCGCCGATCCCTTCTCAGTTTCGAAAGCCTGAAGAATGTTTGAAATTCTTCTCTATCTGATACAAGTACGTACCACGGATTGCGACTTTAGAAACTCGTCAACGCTCGATGTTTTTACCTATCCAATTTTATGATTGAGACTTGAGAGATTTTTTTTTTTACAATTCTTTAAGATGAGAATTTATAAGTTCGAAACCTAGCAAACGTTAATTCTTTATTTCTTACACCGTCTCTCTTACTCCGTCTTTCATACTCACGTCAAGATCATTTAAGGACTAAAGTTAGAAAGTCCAATTATTTTAAAATTTGCACACCATCTCTCTTATGCATACTCTCACATCAAGGTCATTTAAGGACTAAAATTAGAAAGTCCAAATATTTTAAACTTTGCATTAATGTTCGAGTATGTAAAGTATCAATCATGCAATGCTAACGTGACTAAGAAATTATTTGTGAAAGTTTCAAAATCGAAAGTCTAACCTACATTATGTAATATCTTAAATAACCAACAGTATGATCTAACTTTTCTTTAATGATTAAAAATGATATGCTGTGTTAAGAATAAATTTGAGGCACCCATGCATGATAGATATTTGGATGACAAATAGAACATAGAGTTGGTTAAATATAGAAAAACGTTATAGATGCATCAAAATTATATCCCAAATGTCTACCACCCCTCTATTATCACATATTTTTGGCATGTAAACTATAGTGGATAAGGTCATAAAACATTCTCTGTCCTCATATTGATATTCACATTTTTTTGTAGTTCATGTCTCATATACTGTCCTATTAGAGCATTCACAATGGCAAGGCAATGTCTTGCCTTGTCATGCCATGTCAGCAAATTTCACTCAAATCATGACATTTCATGACCATTCCACTCCACTTTTCATTCCATGTGCAAGGCATGACTCTCTCATTTTTTTATTTTTTTAAATATTTTTAATATTTTAAATTTTTGAAAAAAATATTTTTAAAAGAAGTAAACATATTTTAATAATAAAATAAATTTTTAAAATAATCTTTTATAATTAAAAATCATTAAAAAGTGCAAAAATAAACAAAAACAACGACTTGCCACTGTATGTCACGACACTCCACTCATTTGTCACACGGCGACTGAGTTACTTTTTATTGATTGAAATAATCCATGTCACTATGTGACATTTTATTTTTGCCTTGCCATTGTCAATGCTCTTAGAACATTCCTATTCAGCCTCGTACATTCCTCTTCGACATCATCTACTTCCAACATTACATCACGTTTTTCTTTTTTTCCGTACTAATTTAATTAATTTTTTCCTATATCATCTCTTCATTTATACAAAAAAAAAATTTAAAAAAATAGAGGTGTTATGGTTGAAAATATGAAATTGGATTGGGATGGAAAAGTAGAAGCAGCCAAAGTCATGTTTGTACGTGTAAAACTTGCTTGTGTCATGTAAAACAATTCATCCTTCGAGAAGGTCCGGAAAATGACAGACCACCTTAATGACGAGACATTCACACGTTAAATACTCTTTTTTTGTCCCAAAATATTCTTCATAAGACGTAAAATAAGTAAAATTCAAATATTTTCAATTTGTTTTATTTAAATATTTGTATAGATATAAAAAATAAGATTTATTTAAAATTATGTTAAATGTTTTTTTAAATAAAAATGTGATAAGAATATTTTGTTTTATCAAATAATTGATGAAAATGTAAAATAAAAAGAATTTGCGTTATTTTTTATTACTGGACTGTCATTTTTTAAGGACAGAGAGAGGGTAAGTATTTTAAAAAGTTACACATTCTTTGTAATCGTTCAAAAAAAATTCACTTTTTCTGAAATTTTATTTTTGGCTCATTTTTTTTCAGTCAAAAAAAAGTTTGAGTTCTTTTTTCTCTCTTTTACAACACTTTCAACTATACAAAATCATTTTTCTTAATAACTATGTCAATTTTAATGTAAAATCTTTTTATTGGAGGATTCCAGTACTTGCTTTACTATATAATAACTGGAATTTAAAAATTAAAATTTGATAATTGAAGTCTAGTGTACGTCTAACACTTAGAAACCTGATATCTTGTAGATGAAGTCTTTATTTTAACTAAAATCGGTTGGAAATTTTAATTTTATTGTCCGATAAACAGACTCTAGCTAGGATTAAAAAAAAGGAATATATAGTTGAAAATAACATGCCTTAAAACTTCCTTTGTTCAAAAAAATTACTTTTGTTGTATATTACGTTTTTAGCTCTACTGAATTTTATTTAAAACTAAACGATAGTGAGATTTGAACTCTTGAGCAATTGGTAAACAAAGCACTGATGTCATGTCAAGAAATCAATTTAAACAAAAACTCAAGTTTTGTGTTATATACTTGTAGCTGATGAAGGATTTTATACTCTAACACAATTTATATGAAAGATGATATGAAATTTAAAAAAAAGTATATTTTTTTGAATTATTGTAGAAACAACGAAACTAAATCAATTAGATATTTCCTTTTCGTTAGGCTTCTAGCATATTTTTCCATGCATAACAATTTGGGACTTGTCAAACATCTGAGGGCATTTTAGTCAATTTATCGGCACGGTGTTCTTTTAGTATAGCACTAGTGCTAATATCCCTTTATTTTTTCTAATGTAAAACCTTATAACTCATATTTTCTAAATAGTACTTGAACAATGTTTAGTAGCGAAAACAGTGTCCCGTGGCGGTGAATATTTACTTTGAATAATGTCAAAAGACAGTGAATATTTATTTGAACAATGTCCAGTGGACGTTGAACAGTGACACTACATTGGAAAATAAAAGTATATGATACTAAATTATGAAATTCACTATGTTTTAGTACTGCATAAATAATTTTTTATAAAAAAAATTAATAGGATAGTTTTTAATACTAAAAATCAATTGTGTTAACGCTGGTATTAACATTGGAAATGCCCTTAATAAAATTTTTCACACTATGACTACCAAGATTTAATTTTGATAGACTTCAAATTTCACAATTAACATCTCCTTCCTAATTTATTCAAGTTACGTACCTCCGCTCTCAAGTCTAAATTCTAGAAGTACGTACGTTTACGTATTTTAGTAGTCTCTAGAAGGGGAAGAATTTGGTGCTTTGTTGGGTTTACCAAATTCAATTTCCAACGTTTTCCAAATCTTTTTTTATATAATTTGATAATACCAGAAACTATTCTTGGAGACTTGGTTAATTATAAAATATAAATGAAAAATTACACTACAAAAAAGAAGGCTATATATACCGATCAATCTGTTGCTAAATGTGAGTACTTGAAGCCACAATTTGAAATGAAACTAGTTAGGCAAAAAGTAAAAAAAAAAAGTCACAAAGTAGTTAAAGTTCACCAGCTTAAAGGATGTACCCCTCCCTCCCAAAATATCTTCTAGATTATACTCCGTATATTTTTGTCACAAGTTTCTAACTTTGACAATAAAATATGGAAAAAAAATATATTGAGTTATGATATACATTTAATATCAATAAATTCATTTTTTATGAATAGAGAGTCAAAATTTTGACTTTAAAATTAACTAAACTTGAGGAATGCAATTGAAGGGTGTGGGGGGATGGGTTCGGAGCGGGGCGGGATGGAGAGGTTTACCCAGGTTAGAACAGGTAAAAACCGTTAATTTTATGAACGGAGTATCGTAAGATCCCCGAGTCATCACATGACATTGCTTAGATATGTGAAGCGAACCGAATCAAGAATAGGAATTATGATATACTCCGTAATTAAATTAGACACTGATGACATAATTAAATTAGACGTTGGACACTATCAAAATCATGTAAATTTAAAAAAATGGATGCATATGAAGAGACACGTTTATAGTTTTTGAGTATTGAAATTGAGAAAAGTAAACACGGACTGTGACTGGCTTTTACTCGGTTATTTAATACTAGGGAGTACTATTTATTCAACGGCCCTGTTCCATTGGTCACTGGAATTCAGTGGCCGGGAACCCAAACTAATCATCTCACATACGTCAATTACAACTCGTAAGTATAAAGTCAAAACTTTTGACTTGGCGGTGGGGGTTAGAGGGGATAGGAATCATCAATTGTATGAACGGAGCTTCGTAGGGCCATGGAACCCAGCCGTTTATTCAAACCCATGTCCGTGGAATATTATTATTATCCGAGTATTATTAACTGTGTTTTGTTACTTTTTGACCATTGTTTAGAGAATCGGGACTGGTTGGTTCGGATCAGAAACATGTGACCCTTTGAACCGGTTTGGTCCAGTCCCTTGGACCGTATTGTGCCTATATTGTGCCTAAACCAGTTCAAACTGATATGAATCGAACGTTTCAACCATTTGAATCGGCCTTTTTTTACAAAAAATTGCCCAACTAAAGTTTTTATTATCTAACTTTAGTTAGGCCCAAAATATAGTCTGATCCATCTTCTCGGAATCGAAGCCCGCATGAAAAGGTTTTGAACGGCTCGACCATTAAATAAAAAAAGGCCGAAAAAGGGATTTAGAATGTAACAACCTGGAAGCGAGGCCCAATATTGCATGGTGGGATACGAGGTTGCCATAGATTATACTTCCTCCGTTCCAAAAAAAAATGTTCCTATTTTTATTTTTAGAAAAATTTAAGGATGAATATTTTTATGTTGATTTTTTTAAAATATTTTTGATATGATAGGTAAAAGTAAAATGATATGTGTAGGTTATTACGTAGTAGTAAAAAAGTATGATATGATAGGTACATTAAGAGTTAGTATTTACGTAGTATTAGAAAATTAAATAAAAAAACTAAATATTTTAACTCAGGATATAATTTTATCAATATGTTACAAAGTAAAAAAATTAGAAGTATACAGTATAACAATCCGTGTGTACAAGATTAAAAAGAGTTTAGAAAGTAACGAGGTGAAATTAGTATGTGAGGTGAATTTAGTATTTTGGTGGCTATCACCACCCATTACTATTGGTCAAAAAATTTATGACGGATTATATGGCTTCATATAAATAGAAATTAGCATTTTTCATACCAATGATACAAAGTAGAATTGTGCTTTTGTGTTTCTAAAGTTGATGTCATGTTAAAATGTAAATCTTCTCATATTATTAAATTTAGGAACATTCAACTACTAAGGTCATGTTCTCTTCACCTGATATGATTGATTTCAATCTGATCAAAACAAATTATGATCTGATCTAATCTGGTCTGATCTGATTCTAATAAGAATAAGTAATAAGTAAAAAAATAAGTTGAGGAGAACAAGACCAAAATGGAGTATATATAAATTACCATTAAAATAAAAATATTTTTAAAATACACTACAGAGAAATCATTATAAGAATAGAAAGTATAATACCACGTCTATAAACTATTCTTTATTCCCATTTGGAATCAGCGTCAGAGATTAGCGTTAGCGTTTTGAAAAAGTTATCCGACGGTAACCTTTACCGTTTGCGTTTTCAGGATTAATCTGCATCATTAAAATTTTATTCAAAACGCTAACGCTAATCGAAAACGCTGTTACCAAACAAAGCCTTTGTGCAATTAAATTAAGTAATATGCATTGCCAATGTGGTGAGGATCTTTTGATCTTGAACACCCATGGGTTATATCATAATTTTACTAATGAAGTACTATAGGTGTTTTGAGTCATAATATGTTTTTTGGTTTCAAGCAAAGGTCAAAAAAGATCCTTGCTCAATGACCAAACATCTTATGATCAAGTAGCATAATTATGATTTTTAATGACACTTTTTGTGCTTCAATATATTAAATAAATGTGTTTAAATCGTTAATATGAACAACATTATTTTCCCTCGATCCAAAATGAATCTTCCAATTTTCTATTTTAGGTTGTTCCAAAACAAATTTCTTATTTCTTATAAAAAAAATACTTCCTCCGTCCCAAAAAGATTTACACGTTTCGACTAAAGTTGAAATTAAGGGAGCGATAATTTTGTGTTGACTTTCTAAACATACCCTTGATGTGATGAGTAAAAGTAGGATGTGATGTGTAGATTATTAGGAAAAATGTATGATCTGATAGGTAGGGTTTGAAAAAGTAAGGGATAAAAGTGGTTTTTTAATAGAAATGGGTAGGAGATTGTGCGACGCAATTTTTTGGAAAGGTGTAAATTTTTTTGGGACGGATGGAGTATATAATAAATGGACCATTTTGATTCTCTTAGCTCCCATCTCCATAAATCTCTAGGAAACATTTTATTTTTCTTTAATTACTGAATAAGCAAATGAAAAGATTAATTTTAAATACAAAAAGTAATAAAGTTCATGAAACCAACACTCACAATTTCATCATGTACCTCTCATTCCATGAGTGGTCAAATTAACTTTGAAACCCATAAAAGATTTTTTTATAATGTGCAACACTTATATATCCTCTTAAGCAAAAGAATAATTGACAAAGAAAAAGAGGAGAAAATCAAAGAGATTATTATAATCCCTAGCTAACTAATACACCATCAATCTTTTATTGTATGAAGAATTCAAAAGAAAAAGAAACTTTAAAAAAGAAAGAAGAATAATAAGAAGAAGATAATATGGAGTTATATGTTAATTAATCATCATTTTGATATAATCAAAGTCATGAATCAGAAAATTTTAAACAAAAAAGAAGTATTTGCACTAAATAGCACTAAAACTTAAGTAATTTCTCTAAATAGCACTTAAATTGTTTTATTCCCCAAATAGCACATGTAGTGCTATTTAGGGAAAGTCATTATTTTTGGTGCTATTTACGTAAATTCTCCAAAAGAAAATCATTTTTATATACCAAATGTAAGTTTATTTCAATGACCATGGAAGTGTATCACATATTACCTTTGTTTTGTTAGTGTTTCTATCAGATAACAATGTATATATACATTTCATCACCTAATTAAGAAAATTAATATATAAAAAATTAAATAGTACTTATTATAAAATTGTGAATACCATTATATATGTTAGTTTAGATCTCGATGCGGTTCAATTCCTATTAGGAACAAGTACCGAAACCGGTATTGGAATTGGTGGTTTCGAAACCGGACCGTGACCTTTGGGGGCTGGTAGGGAGAATCCGAACGGGAACCTTTTGGGGCAGTACCGGTTCCGGATCGAGGTTTAGGGTATCGGAATCCCGCCGGTTCTGGTTCTAGAATCGGTCTTAACTTTTTTTATTTTTTTTACATTGCTAGACATTTACTACATTTAGATTAGCTACTTTATAAGTAAGAACTACTTAAGTATTTATCATTTTTGCACAAAAAATCAACTTAATAAAACAAAACAATAAAATAAAAAAAGATTCTGGAACCGGAACCGACATCCGTACCGGTTGCGGTCCCTCCCTTTGTTGAAACCGAAACCGGCGGTCTTGAAATCGGCTCAAAAGTGGCCTCTACCCATCCCTATGTTGATTTTTACTATTAAGAATGTTCATAAATCTTTAGGTGGACCTTATGTTTGCCAAAGAATTTACCTTTTCTCAATTCTCTTTTTTTGGATTTGGAGCTAAACTTTGTCTTGCTTTGTGGAGGGGTTATTCTAGAGCCACTCACTTTAAGTGGTTCGGGATAACACCGATTTAAACTAAGGTATTTTTTAATTTAGGTAACAAAGAAATATAACTCCAAAGTCAATTAAATTTTAGAGATGAAATTGATTAGTTTGAGGGTGGGTTGGATGGGGTCGGTTAAGAGGTAGGAACCATCCATTTTTCAAATGAAACATGGTTGGTATCTTAAAAAGGGAGTTCACCGCATTGTCAACTGGATCTAGTGACTCTAGAATCGTCCCAAATCAACCTTTTCATTTTCTATATTTTGAGTTGTCCCAAAATAAAACTTCTTGTTTCTTATAAGAAATACTACCTTTGTCCTACAAAATCTTTTTTCTTTCTTTTTTTCATCTGACTCAAAAATCATTTCTCATTTCTATAATTTTATTAAAAAAATCACTTCTATGCTTATAACTTTTTAATCTACATACTTATCACATCACAATTTTTCACTATGAATCCACCGTCATATATTATTTTTATCTATCACATTCAAGGACATTTTTTTGAAAAGTAAACACCAAATTACACTTCCGTTCAATCTTTTAGAAGTCAAACCAGAAAACTTTTGTGGAATGGAAAGAGTATAATAAATGGTCCATTTTGATTCTCTTAGCTCCTATCTCCATAAATCTCTACCAAATGATTTTATTTTTCTTAAACTAGGTAGCTTGAATAAGTAATTAAATTAAACCAAAAAATTAATTTGAGAGGCATGAAGTAAATAAGCTCATAAAAATAACACTCACAATTTATTTAAATACTTCCCATTCAATAAGTAGCTAGTCAAATTAACTTTGGAACCCATAACAAATTAAAATAATGTGTAACATTTATCTTCTTCGGCCCATGCAAAAAACAATTGAAAAAGAAAAAGGGGAGAAAATCAAAGAGATTATTATAATCCCTAATTAATACACCATCAATCTTTTATTGTTTGAAGAATTCAAAAGAAAAAAGAAACTTTAAAAAAGAAAGAAGAATAAAAAGAAGAACATATATAATACTATCGGACGGAGTATTTGTCCACTTTTAACTTTTTTAGTTAAAATTAGTAAATTTTGATCTCAAATTAAACACAAATGACATTAGATATTGATACAAAAAAAGTTTTATTAAATTTATTATATGAAACAATTTCAAAATATTATTTTATCTACTTAATAAACAATATATTTTATTTAATTATAAGTCAAAAGTTTCAAAACAATTGTTTTTAAAAAAAGTGGATAAATACTCAGGGAAGAAGGAGTAATTAATTATCCTCTTGATATAATCAAAGTCATGAATCAGATACTAACAGTTCATCCCAGATTGTGTCCATATCCAACGACGGAATAGTGTTCAGCTGAACAACACCCTCATTTCCCGGCGGCGGCGCCGCCGCCCCTTCTGTCCTCCTTTTCTTCATCAGATTCTGCGAACGCGAGGGACTCTCACTCTTCATTTCCTCACAATCGCCTCTCCCACTGGCATTCCGGGCCGCCGCCCCTTCCGATATCGCCCGGAGTTTTGCCTCGATGAGGGCCGCCGTGGCCCCACCGCGGCTGGCGGAGTTGTCCATGAGCCGGTGCTTGAGATCCGGGAAGTTGAGGTTGGCGTAGTCCCCTCTCAGCATGTACGCCGCCGTGTCGTAGGCCAGTGCTGCCTCTTCCGCGGTGTCGAACGTCCCCAGCCACACCCTCGTCCGGTTCCGCGGAAGCCGTATCTCCGCCACCCACTTCCCCCAATGCCTCTGCCTGACTCCCCGGAAAAGTTTCCCCAGCGACTGCTGCCCAGCAGAAAAGGACTCTTTATCAGTTGTCCTTTTCTGCTGGTCTTTAATAACCGGCTGAGCTGTGGTGTTGCACGGCCAAAAATCACTAAAACCTTTAGAAGAGTAGTAATTTGTCAAGAAACCTTGATCCATTTTCTGCCAATGATCAGTGAAGTGACCATCTTGCCCATGCAGGGGCAAGTGGAACAACGAGGGCGTTTTTGGAATTTCAAAAGCCGAGATGGCTGTCTTGCCATAAGCGGCCGGAAAGACTCCGGGGACTTGATTGGGAAACACGAGGCCGTTATGAACAAACGGATGAGAATAATTAACATAACGTTGATAGCACTCGTCGACTGCGGTGGCCGGAAAACGTCGTGACGGCGAGGAAGAGGAGGCTGTCATTATGTACGGTATATTTTTGCATGAAGGGGTTTTAATATTTTTCACATCACATTCTTTGTGCTCAATGGTGTTGATGAAGAAGATAAGAAGGAGAGAATATATGCAAGGGAGAGGTACATATATGTTATATATAAATCTAATGTGTATGTAGGAGGTGTTGTTTATTTTATACTCGATAGAAGTATGTATGTGGAAATTCAAAGGCTTTAATTTAAAATATTGTGTTTCAATGTTGAATGGATGGAGATGTGACACTTTATAGTGAGAATGACTACGTTCCACGTTTGTCATATTTAAAAAAAAATTGTCATTGTTACCTAAAAAATTTGTCATTGTGTTTCTTTCAGATTTTTCTAAATTTTCCTTTTCAAGTTTTGTTTGGAGTAATTAGAATATTTGTCTAATTTGATTTTATCGAGTTAAAGCAAAAACAACCAAGTTTCAATTATTTTAAATATATATTACATATTAGTATAATAGAATAAAATTTAAGAAGTTTTCAACAAGATAAATATAATGAAATCATTTTTTATATACAAAATTGTAAGTTTATTTCAAAGACCATGGAAGTGTATCACATGTTACCTTTGTTTTTTTTGGTGTTTCTATCATATACTCCCTCCGTTCCACAAAACCCTTCCTCTTTCGTTTTTTTTTTGCTTTCCACAAAACACTTCCACTTTCTATTAAAAAACTACTTTAACCCCTACTTTTTCATACCTTGCATATCATATCATATTTTTTCACTAATAACCAAACTATCACATCTTACTTTTTCTCATCACATCAGGGGCAAAATTGGAAAGTCAACCAAAATTACACTTTTCTTATTTCCCCCCAAAGTCAAAACCGGAAGGGTTTTGTGGAACGGAGGGAGTAATAATGTATATAGTTTCTTCTTCGTTTCTTAAAACATTTTTTCTTTAAAAAATTTTTCTTTCTCCAAAACACTTTAACTTTCTATTAAAAGTTACTTTTAGGTTTTACCCATATTTTTTTCATCACAGTACTATCATATCATACTTTTTCACTAATAATCTACTCATCACATTTATCTTTTACCCATCACTTCAATGACAAAATTGGAAAGTCAATCACAGATATATAAGGGCATGAGGCTTTCAATGAATACCCAAAAATTTGATTGCCGTCTGCATTTGTATCTGTTTAAATAGGAATAATCCGCATCCATTTTAAATGAATATTATCCATATCCAATTAAGGATATCAGGTTACTAAACGGATAAGGATTTGGTATAGTAATTGTAAATCTATTCTGTTTAAAATCTGGCCCGGATATACATCTGTTTAAATAACTATTTATCCTAACATCCATTTATTCTAGTACCAAATTAAAATTATTTTAAGAAATATAAACCTCTACCCATCTCATAATACATATATACTTGGCCCATATATCTAAAAGTGTAATTTACCCTCTAAGTCTCTAACCTTAGTGTCTTACTTACTCCGTATTACCTAGGGGTGTAAATGGACATTAATCGGATCGGATAGGCCATTACCAAATCCGTATCCGTTTATTTTTGTCGGATATCGAATTCGGATGCGAATCTTGACGGATACTAAAAATTAAAACCGTATCCGCATCCGTCGAATATCGGTCGGATATCGGATATATCCGTATCCGTTTCTAATTTTTAAAATCAAATTAAACCATACTTTAATTTTAAATTATATTAAATTCAAACTATTATTAAATCAACTAAAATTTGTTATGGGATAATTATTTTTTTGTTTTCATGATTTATGATACTCTACGATAACTTCATATGATAAAAAGATATACACAAGATACACATACACATATTTTAATATGTCTGCACATATTATTATGTGTCTACACATTTATTTTGTTAATAAAAATTTCTTATACTCTGAAATATAAATAGAGAAACAAAGTATAAACATAAAAAAATAGGAAAAACTATATATAACGGATCGGATATTTGGATAAACGGTTATCTAAACGGATGCGTATTCGGATCAGATTTTAAACGGATCGGATATACAATTACCAAATCCGTATCCGTTTAGTAATCGGATATCCTTAATCGGATACGGATAATATCCGTTTAAAACGGATGCAGATATTTTCTCTTTAAACGAATACGGATGCGGACGGTAATCGGATTTTCGGCTATCCGTTTACAGCCCTAGTATTACCTTACCATTACTTCTATAAAGTACTTGGTTGATTATGAATTTATGTTTTTTTCGAATTATTTGTTTTGGTGAAACAATAGTTTTTTTATGTATTCGACGTTGTTCAGTATTTTGGGTTTTGATATTCACTTTCACATTCTTTTTATAATCATTTAAATTTTTTATTAACAATTTCAGATATTCGGCAATATTTAATTTAAAAATTGGATCAGACGTCGAACCCAACTAGCAACTAGGTCAAGGGTCAACCCGTCGAAGTGGGCTGACTTAGGTCAACAACACATAGCTTGGTATAAAATATTCATATTTATGTTTTAGAAAAAATTTTGCCAAGTTTTTTGAGCTACTTTTAAATATAATAAAATATTATCACATAAGTATGCATATAATTATAAATAATTCGAAGTTTATTAAAAGAAAAAAAATACAAAGCATTAGAATTATGTATTGGTTACGGATTCGGATATAGAAATATAAATATCTGTCGGATACGGATACACATTCGGATATCTCAAAACTTAATCAGATTCAAATTCAAATATGGCATATCCGTCGCGTATATTATCTGTTTACAGTCCTACAGATATACACTCTTTATTTCTTCCATTAGTAAAAGTCGGAAGTGTTTATGAGAACAAAGGTATTATAAATTTTATCATCTACTCCCTCCGTCCCATGAAAATGTGACTTTTGCTTTTTAGGAGAGATTTAAGGGGAGTGTATTTTGGTATTGAATTTCCAAAAATGTCCTTTGATGTGATGGGTAAAAGTATGATTTGATGGATAGATTATTAGTACAAAAGTATGATGTGATAGGTAGGGTATGAAAAAGTAAGGGGTAAAAGTGACTTTTTCATAGAAATTAGAAGTGTTTTGTGGGACGGATAAAAAAAAGGTGAAAGATTTTATGGGACGGAGGGAGTAATTAAGAAAATTAATGTAAAAAACTAAATAATGTAAAATTGTGAATGCCATAATGTTAATTTAGATCTAGATGCAGTTTCGGTTACGAAGAAGTACAAGATTTGGCGATTTCAATTTGGAACCAGACAGGAAACTTTGGGGGCTGGTATAGGGATACCTTGAATGGAAACCTTCCCGGGTGGTACTGGTTCTGGATTCACTAGATATTCCTCTGCCACTAAACATTGTTTAAACTTAATGTCCAACATCACTGGACATTCTTTTCGCCATTTGACATTATTCAAGTACTCCCTTCATTCCACAAAACATTTCCGTTTTATTTTTTTGCCTAGCCCATAAAATACTTCTATCCCACTTAAAATGTCTAAAATACCCCGGCCCTAAAACAACTTCTACCCGCAATAAACTACATAGTGTGATATATTTTAGATATTTTAGGTGGGAGTTAAAGCGTTTAATGAGGTGCGCAAAAATTTATGGCGGAAGAATTTTAAGGAACGGAGAGAGTACTATTTAGGGAATTAAAAATTTAAGTATTACTCCGTATATTGAGAAAAGCGATATGCTTTAGTGCTATTTAATATAAATTCCACTTTATTAAACTCTTGATGAGAGTGAATTTTTAATATGGACAAATAGAGAAATAAATCACTCAATTAAGAATTAAACTAACTTATTTGTAGGGGAGGATTTACAATGATGCACAGACATTATTACACACATTTAATTGTGGAGAAGGAAATCCGTAAATTGGTGATCACGTGAGTTGATTGGGTTGATAATTCCTCTTAGACCCCGTTTGGTACATGAAATTCAAATTATGAAATTAGAATTGAAGACTTTAATTCTAATTCTGGTGTTTGGTAGTACAAAAATTATATGAATTTAGAATTGGTAGTGCAAAATATGAATTGGAATTCGTGAATTCAATTCTATGGAATTGAATCCTATGGAATTTTAATTCCAATTCAATTCCAATTCCATCAATTTCGTGTACCAAACGGACCCTTAAATTTTAAGTCTCTGATTAAAAATTGAATAATTTACCTAAATAGGACTAAAACATAATGACTTTCTCCAAATAGGACCATATGTTTTTATTTCTCAATGTAGGACCTTTGGTCATTATTAATTAGTCATTATTCAAGTAAATGTTCATCACGGCTGGGCATTATTCCTTCCACGAAGACATTATTAAGTCCTATTTAGGGAATAAAAAAGTTTAAGTCCTAGATTAGGAAAATCATTATGTTTTAGTCCTATTTAGTGCAAATTTCACTTAAAAATTCCTCAAAAATAATTAACATGATACTTTTTAAAATGAAGTGTGAGCGAGAGAATGGGTTCTACTTCTATTAAGGTCTCGAAACTCTATACTTTTTTTCACATGATATTTTTTTAAATTTAAATTAAAGGAGATAATAAAAGGAAAAGAAAACTTGATAGTTTGGTTAAACTTGGAACAATTGAAATTCCCTTTGACGACATATGTTTTTCACCCAAGCAATAACTATGAAAAAAACAAATGTCGACAGGACAAAATGCCTTTTTTTTTTATCTTTATCTATACTTTTTATCAAATTGTAAGAAGAGTATAGGATATATTCAAGTATTAGGTGCAGTTTTGAGCCTGTTTAGAAATTAATGTTCGCGTTTTAAAAAAGTTATTTACGGGCACTCAGGCAGCGTTTAGCGTTTCAGAGTAACTTGCACTGTAGAAATTTTATCCGAAAACGCTAACGCTAATTTCCAGAGTTATTTCCAAAGAGGCCCTTTATCCTTTATTTATCAATATGTAAATATAGCTTGATTTATCATCTATCAAGTGACTGTGGGCACTATGAGCAGTGATATTTTAGTCTTACACGGACATTTCTCCGTAATTCAGTTCCAAATTTATCACATTATAACTATACATTATATTATTAATTTATCCATCATATCATACTTTACACGTTATTTCTATTTTTAAGGGTAAAATTGGAAAGCAATCAACTATAAAATATACTCCCCTTAATTTACCAAAAATCAAAACCAGAATTGTTTTTCAAAACAGAAAGTCATTTTTACTAGCTAAGTACTTAAGTAAGGTTCAGAATTAGTCAATTAGATAAATACACTAGAACGGAAGGAGCATAACAATTTAATTCGGAACATTATTTCATTAAAAGAACATATACTATCACTTAAAACATGAAAATACTACTTACTTCGTCTCAATTTAATTTTTCGCTCATTTTATTTTTGATTGTCCTAAAAAAACTTATCCTTCTTAAAAAATGGAATAAATTGATCATATTAAATTTTCTCTCATAATTTAAATTTCATAAAACATGTTATCTATACTCTCGCCGTCTACATTCATTTTTAAAGCATAGTGTGGATATCAATCCTCCCATTTTCATTTGTGGATTCATTCCAATCAAGTTTTTCACTGCACTACTACAAAAAGGTCAAATTAATTAATTACCCCATTTACATCGGTTTTAAAACAAAACTGATGTAAATGGTTTGATGGAATATTATGCATAAGAAGACCTTTCTTTTCCACTGTATATATTGCATGCTTAATCCATTGCTTCATAATTAATTTATTTTTACTTTGATGGATTGCGTAATATATTCTTTACCATCCGCCAAAGGCACGTACATTATATAATTCAATTTTACTGTGCATGGATTAAACTACTCGGGGTATATTATTGTGTTCTTCTCATAACTTTCTTTTTTATTTGATTTATTGTGATCTAAAGTGTACATGACACTTTGATTATTTACATCTCTATTTCTAAATATAGATTATAAAAATATAATCTTTCAAAATGATTTATTGATATTAAACTTTTATTACCATTTTAGAGCCGGCCCCGAGGATACGATGGCCCTGGACGTGATAAAAAATGGGGTTGACCTTAAAAAATTAAATTATATAATCTATTTTCTATAAGCTAACAATTAGTATTATAGTAATACATGTGACGACATTATAGTATTTTAATTAAATATCATAATAGCTACCTTAAAAAACCAAGTTTAATGTGTGTGTGTGTAAGGAGTAATATATAGTATCGGTGATGTTTAATTTAATTTGTACAATAATTAATTTTTTTTGAAGAAAGTACAATAATTAATTTAATTAAATGTATTGTCTATATATATTCCTTGCCACCATACAAATATTGGTAAAAATATTTCCAAAAATTTAGAACATAACCAATACTCCTATTCCAAATTACTCCGTAGATTATAATTTCTCATTTACAAGATTAAGTCTGTATTTTTTAAAATCAATATATTTAAAAATTGGTATAAAAATAATTAATGAATTTACATGTTAAAAAACAAAATGTTACAAGAATATTTTATCAATTAATGGATCAAGTACATAAACAAATAAAAGTTATCGAGAGACATGACTCAAAAAAATATACTACGTAATCAATTTGGGAGCGGATGAAGCACAAAAAAGGAAGACTAATTATAATCTGTGAGAACCTTGGGGGAAAAAATAGGGAGGATAAAATTAAATTTGGAAGTCCGCACTAATATAGATTTGCGGTACGTGCTTCCCACTTGCAGCAACATTCTAACCAATCAAAACGTGACAACGTGCCACTCTTGTCTGGCTGCATGGGTTAATATATAATTTTTTTTTGGACAACTAAATGGGTTAATAATTAAGATTTATAGTGTATATGAATTAATAATGGGTTTTGGAGTGGAAATTAATAATTAATTACAATTATTAGCAGCAAGGAGGGATGCATATTCTCTGTTGAGAGCGACTGCATGCATATATGATGATGAGCCTCATCAAACCCTAGCTTTAATTTTAATTTTAATTTTAACTTTAATGACGACAATATTATATATTCTACGACTGGTTTGTTTGTTTAAGGGCGGATAATCCTATATCCATGTGGTTTTCGAGAACCACCACATGACCTGTTTTCTATTCATTTTCCACTTTCCCACATGCATCAAAGATGTTCAAAATCCTATAGGGAGTACTTGTAATATACTCCATCCGTTTACAAATAAACTTCTCGTTACACATTACGATGTTTGGCTAAAATAAATGGTGTAAAATTTTTTTAAAAAAAATTACACATTAAAAAACTATATCAAAAGATCTACAAAATTAGATGTGACATGACTATATTATTTTGTCAAATGAGTGGCGAAAATAGGCCAACAAAGTAAATAAAGTTTGACCATGTGAATAGTGAATCGGAAATTTATTTGTTGACAGAGGGAGTATTTCCTCTGTCCTAAAAACTCTTTCACATTTCAAAAAATAGTGTTCCACAATCTCCTTCTTATTTTTATTAAAAAATCACTTTTACTCCTTACTTTTTCATACCATATCTATCACATCATATTTTTTTCCTAATAATCTACACATCGCATCCTATTTTTACTCATCATATCAAGGGTATTTTCTAAAAGTAAACACAAAACTATCCTCCCTTAGTTTGCCAATTTATCAACTAGATTCGTACCCGTGCATTGCACGGCGAGATTTTCGTTATTATATTTATCATTTATTAAAATTTAATTAGTGTAAATCATATCGAAAAAATGACACGTGTATATGACAAATGATTGACCGTTACAACATATTTCAAATATTTTGGAATACTTCCTTAAATACGGAGTACAACATTAGTAGTATGGTCAACTACATTATTATCATCGTTGCAAATCAAAATCTTAAGGCCTTGACGATTTGTCGTTCGAGAAAATGCAACGTATAACTGTCCATGACTGAAAACCGATTTTTTCAATAAAAGACCAACGTGCTTTGGTGATTGACCTTGACTTTTATTGATTGTCATAGCACATGAGGTCATTATCAAAAATTGTTTTTTCTCAGAAACTTGAACGAAATCCTTGTGTCCGAAGGTGGTAGTGTGAGAAATATACCAATAATCAATTATGTAGAAATATTTTCTACATAATTAAGTATACATAATTAATTACCAATAATCAATTATGTAGAAATATTTTCTTTGTTTTTGGAAGTTACTAAGTTATAGTATAATTGTAAATTTTATCAATATGATATCCACTCATTAAATTTTAATAAATGACAAATATAGTAACGAAATTCTCCTCCTGCAACGCATGAGTACGGATCTAGTAATCATAAAACAGAAAACCAAAAAAATGACCATGGTTGGGAATGAGTCCAAGAACAACTTTTTTGGGGTCAACTGTCCCAAAATGCTTACCCAAAAAAAAACGAACATGTATGTCTACTCTTTATGGCTTGTTTGACAAAAAAAAAAGAATGGCCCTAGTCATATTCTGAAACATTTACTACTTGTACTGCCACCATTATTACACAATTTTCTTCTATCTTTATTCACAAATGTGTGTGTGTGTCCTGCAGATCCCATCATCATCATATTGTAAGAGTCAGGAAACTGTTGCCTTGTTGAGAATGTAGTGAGGAAAGGGATATTTCCTGCACGCCACCATTGTCTAACTGTAAAACTTGTTCAGCCATTAGCACCATATCCAAGCGGTGAGCGATGATTACCACCTGCTTATAGAGCAGATCGAAACAGATTTACGCTTCGTTTGTGGAACAACATTTGTTAGCATTTCCAATAGTTCTTTAATCACGCAAATTGACTTTGAGAACATTGAAGTTATAGCTACCGTTCTTTAAATGCTATAAATTTTCTGTCAACATTTGTTGATCTATACATTTCAGCCAAATGAGTAAAAAATGGCTTACGGTGCTGATTAGCAAAATAAGCTGATAGGAGCTGCCAGCCTGCCAAATGGAACCTCAATGAATGAAGTTTAACTAAAACTTGCTTACTAAAAATAGTAAAGCATTTTTGCTCTTATGGAAGTGGTTTTCACCCTTTCCAGAAGTGTATCCAAATAAGCAGTAATATTAGAATCCAAAAACACCTATAAATTATAACAGGTAGTAACTTACAATATCTTGAGAGACTAGATCAATGTCTCCTCAAACTATCCAGCTGAATATTTCCAATATCAAACCCATTGACCTGTATGGTACCTGTAATGAAATAAAGCAAACCATTCAAGTTACTGATATAAGAATAAATGGATGACATTTCCAGCCCCCTGTCCCGGTAGTTTAAATGTGTTTTGACAGAATTAACCCTGAATTGGGCGGGAACACTCTTCCTGCTTATTTTTGGTTTGTGTATAGTAAGATAAGATTGGAGAAGCTAGTTTCTTAAGAACTCCACATGCGAGAAATAATTAGATAACGAATTAAAGGATAATTATCAGTGGCTGATGAGATAATACACAAATACATGGTACAAATACTCCGAACATCAGGCTTCCATCAAATTGCAGAACACAATAAATAACAAAATAATTCTCTAGACTAAAAAGCCACATAAAATAATATGAATAGCAAAACAATTAAAGTTAAAAGCAAAGGTATTACTCTTTAATGACAACATTCTGCTAAATCAAGCTGCTACACATTGCTGCTTTTTCAGCCTCAGAGAGTTCACATTTTCACATATTCTTTGCAGGTATAGATCATTTTTCCCATAAACTTTAAGGAACAGACACATGGCTTCCGTATCCATTTTGTACAATTATGCCAATAGCCTACATCATACAAATCACTATTTTGCATCACATATATATATATATATATATATATATATATATATATATATATATATATATCCACACCTTAAAACTTTCAAATATACATGCACATGAAGAGTACTTCAAGGTATTACTCCGGCCTGCAAATTATGTACATTGAATGCAATTGATATAAAGGAACATACTAACTTATGAATTGAGAGATTGGCTCCATTAAGAACTGCAGCAAGTCACAGGTCCTAGATGAAAGACACTTGAATACTTTACAAATACAACTCACATGCAATAGGACCTCTCTATGTTTAAATACAAATCACATTATTTGAAGCAAGTTGAACTGACAACCCCATTCAAAGTGTTTCAAGCATAACGCGACCTCTATACCGCAAGAAACAATGAAGAAACCACAAATAGTTCTATGTGAAATATCAGTATGAGCACATCTGAACAATCATCATAAAGCTATTACCTTATCGAGTTACAATTATGCGCCAAAGGTAACATCTTGGATTCTAAAAAAAAATCTGCATAATTTCATACCAAAGAAGCTTAACATTCTTAATGCTCGCACAAAATAAGAGACCAAATATGTTAAAAAAAGATTTAATATTTGAAAAGAAATTGTGATAAATTAAAAAAAAGATTGAGAACAAACTTGAATGCTAAAGCTTTTTCATATGCTCTGTGCTTCATTTCCAGTTCGATGATTGTAGATTTTACAAAGCAATAATGTAACAGACAAATGATATAAACAGATATCCTAATTAAGAGTAAAATATATGTGTTCATCCATAGAAGTGAACACCTATTTTTATTAGGTGAGGCATATTCTCAGATCACAGTGTAGAATCAAGGGTCTGCACCACCCAAGCCTCTCATCCCGTCATCCGTTCAGAATCTAGTCACCTTTAAAAAAAAAATTAAAATCTTACTCTCAATATATATAAATTATAACAAATAAATTAAAACAGAAATAACAAAATGGTCTTATCTTTTACCCGAATCTGTCTCCTCCTTATTTCTAGGGTTGGGTGGAAACTGAGATGCCAGATATTCCTCGCCCTGCAATTCTTGGATGCCGTCCTTGCCTGTCACAAAACCGTCGTGGAGAAATAAACAAACTTTCTTGAGTCACAATCACAAGCTTGAATATTTTGTTGATTTAGTTCTTTGACAATTTCCTAACACATCATATTGTTCCTAATACGAGTATCTAATAAAGGATTAGAAACCAAGTAAAAAGAAGTAGAAAATGTATAAGAGAATAGAAAATTAATGGACGAGGCACTATTTTCATGATCATTACAAAACATTTAAAAAACATATCTGGATTTTCATTCGGTAAATTTTGAAATTTAAGAGAAATGATATGGATCTCAAGATCTAAAATGAAGTGGCTTAGACAAATTTTAAATCATGATTTAATTAGATATTCCCTTGGATCACTGGCCATGGGAGTGGTCGACGGTTAAGGGAGATATCAAATTCTATATCCCAAACTCGAAAAATATCAAAAATTTTCATTTGAAAGATTTGTGATATCTTCAGATATGGAATTTGAATTCTTTTTATCGCACAATAAAATCTAATATCAAAAAATATGAGAATTCATATCTACTATGCTCCACCTCACATGATAAACATGATAATTTAGCAGCAAAGAAAAAGAAGAGATAGTAAGAGGTCACGAGCTGAAATGGTTCCCTATTATAAACCATTCCCTGTGTCATTTTAATTTGAGTGTAGCTTGGCAGTTGACACAAATACTCCAAAGGAGAGATCTGTAAGTATGAATTTCATCTTTATACCAATTGATTGAGATTGTAACAGAATTTACTTCTTTTCGGCTAAGTACTTGACTGGTGCAAAAGAGGTTAACCATTTAATTTGACACGTTCACTATTCACATTATCAAGATTTAATACATAGCAATTTTTTACCAATTTTCATCACTCATTTCATTAAATAATACTCTCCCGTCTCCAATAAAATTACACTCTTCGATCAACATCCTAGTTTTTTATAAAAAATACATTTTATTAAGAAATTTGTACACAAATAAAAAACTTAAGAGACAACATTAAAAGTTGTCTAACAAAAAAGTGACAATAAATATTTTATTTTTTTCAGATAATCAACAAACATATACAAACAACGAAAATTATCAAAATGGCCAAATAATAATTGTATAATTCATTTAGAGACGAAGAGATACAGTCATCTGCCTTTTTTCTTTTTTGTAAAGCAATTGCTACAATTTTAAAATTCACGTAGGGTACAATAATTTTAAATTTTACACCAATTTTCAAAGAAAATTTAATTGGAAATAACTATGGACCAAAAATTTTAAAATATACCCAGAGTGTACAAGAATACACAAACCACCTCAAAACCTACTGCCAAATCAAGACCAAGCAAAAACCACAAAAGACTGATGAGATTACTTATGGTGTTAACATGAGCATTGCTAAGCTTATTATTAGCCACATCCCACATTTACTATACACATTCTGATTCCCACTTTTCCAAAAGAAGCAGCTATAATGGCACAAGTGAACAATCTGTCTCTTCTGCACTTCCCATGTTTCATCTTAATGATCTTATCTTCCATCTCAGCTATGCAATTAGCAGAAATATCAACATGATCCCAATCAAAAACGAGTTTATGAACTGCCATAGCAAAAGGGCAGTCACAAAAAACAAAGTGGAGAGCTTAAAGATGTTTTTGTTTTTCAGAGCTGATTTAAGATCTCAAAAGCCAAGCGTTTTCGAGTGTATTGCATTGAAAATCCAACTAGAAGTCCAATTCTCTTACACGTTAAAGTCTCATCACAGATGAAAAACTCTATAATGATATGAATGTGGAGTTAGGCACATGATTAGGGTGGGCTAACTCCAAAATATTTTGAATATCCAAAGCGAACTAGGAAAGGAATGTAGGAGCATCATTCCTTACCCTCAAACGGCTTTAGTTCGGGGGCAACCCCATTTGATCTAAGCCTCATATGAACTCTGAACCAAAACAGTTCGTACGACACCGTTCGGTTATTCAGAGGCTTGTAAAGGACATTTTGAAGTCATGGACAAGATGCATAAAAGAGGCAAATGTCATGTCCAAGGCTGCTTGGAGAAATATTCATTGTATCTGAATAGTTCCCTCAAAAGGACTTGGGTAAGAGAACCAAATGCATGAAACATTTGGCCCCAATTGATATATGCCCCCTAACTAAGCCAACATGAAACCGCCATTGTAATGACATCCATAAAGCTTCTCTAGAGGCATCGTGCACTTGCGTATAAATATTGAAAATGATATGATTTGGACTTGACTTTTACTGAAATATCGAAGGTTATTGTAGGTGAAACAAGGATGAGTTCCAAGGAATCTTCTTCGGGCTAGTTTCCCTTTAGGCTGCTAGCGGCAGTCAAAATGCCATTGGAGTGGCACTTGCTGTTGACTCAGTTATGAAGCCATTTAACAAAGGATACTCCAAACTCCATAATAACGAATCAAGAATATCATATAGACAAATATGTGACTATCAAAGCATCTAAATACCTTTTTAAAAAATTAGATTACCTAGTGGCATACAGGAAAGGGTGGAAAATTTTCCAAAAACCACCAGAACAAAAGAACCTCTACAAAGAATTACACTACACCGAATCCCCTCTTAAAACCCAGTCAACAATAGATTACCACATAATTTTCAAAAATCACTAAACCAAAAGAACCAATACAAAGGGATCCCTCTACACCTAACCCCTTTAAAACCCAGCCACAAAATAAAAAACGCTTGTATCAAAAATGAGTTTATGAACTGCCATAGCAAAAGGGCAGTCACAAAAAACAAAGAGGAGAACTTGAAGATTTTTTTTCAAAGCTGATTTAAGATCTCAAAAGCCAAGCGTTATCGAGTGTATTGCATTGAAATCCAACTAGAAGTCCAATTTTCTTACGTGTTAAAGTCTCATCACAGATGAAAAATTCTATAATGATATGAATGTAGACTTAGACACATGATTAGGGTGGGCTAACTCCAAAATCAATTGAATATCCAAAGCAAACTAGGAAAGGAATGTAGGAACATCATTCCTTATCCTCAAAGGGCTTTAGTTCGGGAACAAACCCTTTTGATCTAAGCCTCATATGAACTCTGAACCAAAATAGTTTGTACGACACCATTTGATTATTCAGAGGTTTGTAAAGAACATTTGGAAGTCATGGACAAGATGAATAAAAGAGGCAATGTCATGTCCAAGGCTGCTTGGAGAAATATTCATTGTATCTGAATAGTTCCCTCAAAAGGACTTGGGTAAAAGAACCAAATGCATGAAACATTTGGCCCCAATTGATATATGCCCCCTAACTAAGCCAACATGAAACCGTCATTGTAATGACATCCATAAAGCTTCTCTAGAGGCATCATGCACTTGCATATAAATATTGAAAAAGAACCAAATGCATGAAATATTGACTTTTACTGAAATGTCGAAGGTTATTGTAGGTGAAAGAAGGACAAGTTTCAAACAATCTTCTTCAGGCTAGTTTCCCTTTAGGCTGCTAGCGGCAGTCAAAATGCCATTGGAGTGGCACTTGCTGTTGACTCAGTTATGAAGCCATTTAACAAAGGATACTCCTAACTCCATAATAACAACTCAAGAATACCATATAGACAAATATGTGACTATCAAAGCATCTAAATACCTTTTTAAAAAAATTAGATTACCTAGTGGCATACAGGAAAGGGTGGAAAAATTTCCAAAAACTGCCAGAACAAAAGAACCCCTACAAAGAATTACACTACACCGAATCCCCTCTTAAAACCCAGTCACAAAATAGATTACCACATAATTTTCAAAAAATCACTAAATCAAAAGAACCAATACAAAGGGATCCCTCTACACCTAACCGGCTAACCCCTTTAAAACCCAGCCACAAAATCAATTACCACATAATTCTTAACACCCAAACTCACAAAATAGAGGAAAGAGTGGAAATGATTCCAAAAACCACCAGATCAAAAGACACATAGCCTCTAATAAAATTCAGTCAGAAAATAGAATACCACATTATTTTCAACCCCTAAACTCATGTCTAAAGTCATGTCCTCCTATCCATAAAATTGAACTATAAAACCAATGCTTACTACCTAATTTGTTATCTTGTCAAACAAAAGTACCAATTTAACTTTCCAATTTAATATCCTTTGTCAATTCTACGAATAGGATTAATGTGACTTGATGATGTATTTTCTCAAGAAACCAGCAAATAAATTAAATAAAAAATTTCATACCATCAGGATAAAGATAGTTTCTTTTCGCAATAAACCCCAGTTTTAAAATACCCACCGGATCATTCACAAAAAACAAAACCCACAATACACCAAAATCCACACTCTTACAAAGGGATAATCGCAAACCCCTAATGGGCATGGTATGAATTCAAGTGCTTAAATTCATGGTGGGCAAAAAATCACAATGAAGGTCTAAATTCTGTGTGAAATTCGTGTTTTCCAAATAAATTAAGGGAAACAATGATTTGTGGGGAGGAAATTATGAATCGCTCAATTAAAACCTTAACAAACAAAAAAAAGTGAAAAGGACCTTATGGCTGCTACGACGCCGTAGTCTTCTGAGGTGACCATCAACAATGAAGGGAAGCGAAATGGGAAAGTGGGAAAATGATGACGGAATAGAGCTGGGAATGAATTCCAGATTGGGGGAAAATCAGAATTTATAGCAGTTGAGGAGGGTTGCTAAAACCCTAATTAGTTTCCTCTTGGCATTGTGGTTTGGCCACATTAACGAGAAACCCATAACTAAGTTACATCGTTTCGGTGTACTTGATTCATTTGACTTCAAGTCATATGATGTATGTAAATCTTGTTTACTTGGTAAAATGACAAAGGCTCAATTCACCAGTCACGGTGAAAGGGCGAGTGATTTATTGGGTCTCATACACTCTGATGTATGTGATCTGATTAGCATTGTAGCTAGAGGTGGTTATTCTTACTTCGTTACATTTACTGACGACCTTAGCAGATATAGATATGTGTATCTCATGAAACACAAATCAGAATGCTTTGACAAATTCAAAGAATTCAAGAACGAAGTAGAAAAACAATTAGGCAAAAGTATTAAGACCCTCTACTCGGATCGAGGAGGTGAATACTTAAGCCTGGAATTCGACGACTATCTGAAAGAGCATGGGATCTTATCCCAACTCACTCCTCCGGGGACACCTCAGTTAAATGGAGTGTCTGAGAGGAGAAATCGGACTTTGCTAGACATGGTCCGGAGCATGATTAGTCTGACAACATTGCCAGAATAATTTTGGGGATATGCATTGAAAACAGCAGCACACACACTCAACAGAGTTCCATCTAAAGCGGCCGAGAGCACACCATATGAAATATGACGTGAGAGAAAACTGGGTTTCTCGTACTTTAAGATTTGGGGCTGTAAAGCTTATTTAAAACGTCTCATGACGTCTAGTAAGGGATGCAATGGAAAGGGGATGACATGTCCAGGTCACGACGGGATGTGGGGGTCATGACATTGGTTCCCGTTTTGGAGTAACCGTAAAAAGAACACTATAGCAATAGCATAGGAGAAGCCAAAGAGGCGGAAAGCAATTAACTGGAACTGGGAAGACGCACGTCAAGACCGAAGGGCGAAGACAGAGGAAGACTAGTAGCCTCATCTTCACTGCCGCAGGCTGCCCCCGCCTCACCGCGCCACACCATCCAGGTCCAGCACTCCAGCATTCTGTTCACTCTTCACTTCATCAGGTATGAACGCATGATTTACAATAATTTATTGCTTTTAATGATTAAATCCCTAATTTTATGTCTTTTAAATTTTAATTATTCGATTTGTGTTTTCTTCTTCTATAGTTCTATGGAATTCTATTTCAATCATTACTAGGAATGATTAATGAATTGTAATTTGATAAAACAATCTATTTTTTATTTTATTTTTCCTCTTTAAAAAAAATTATTGCTAATTGGTTCAAATGGCTTAGCCGTTTAAGGATTTAGGATTCTCTAATTGTATATGTCCGGGTTATTATTTTTTATCCAAAATAAAAAAATAAAAAAGCTACTCCTTGGTTCTCAAAATGTTTTTATACGGAGTACTATACTTGTAGAATGGTTCCTAAAAAACGGGTATCGGGCTATTATAAACATAAAAATAAAAAAGACTTGAACTTACACAATCCTAGAGGGAAGCCCTAGATAAACTCATTTTATATAGAGAGGAGGTCTCTATACATTGTAAACTTGCAGTGATGTTTTCTATTACATTGTAACAAATTCAATAATTATTATGTAACTTCTTTAACTTTTACTTTTATTAGATACAATAGTCCATAGGTGCCAATTTTGTGTTTTTGCATAGAGCCGACCGGCTGTGCAAAAATGCAGTGTAATAATGTAAATGTGCATCATGATGGATGAAAAATGCAACATTTTCTTTTCTCAAGTTAAGAGCATTCTCACTTGATCCACACCCTATATATGTGTCATGTATGTATTATGTATGTATATGTGTGTGTCTGTGTGTGTGTATATATATATATATATACTCAATATAGTAAGTCTAATTTGACACTACTTCAAGTGGTGCTAAATCTCGACACTTGTTCTATAGGGGCACCTACGATAATCTGCTCATAAAATTGATGGTTCACAAAATAAAACGTTACTTTTATTCTACTTTATTAAATTGCTAATAGATCTACTTGTGGTCTTGGGAATTCAGTCGGAGTTCAATGCGGTCACATTGAGATTAGATTAACAATTAAATACGGAGTATTATAAAGGTCCCTTTCTTTTTGCAAATTCATGCGGCTCTGGTTAATAGTCAGAGTTTGTATTTCAAAGTTCAAAACTTAAATTATTGCATATCAATTTGAAATTAGATTGCAAATTCACCTGGTTGATAACCAGATTTTTCATTTTGACTTAAATTGTTGCAGACGGGTAAAAAGCAAAATACACCCTCAAAAAGTAGAAAAAAGCTAAAATGCACCCTCATTTTTTTTAAATATTTTAACCCACCCTTAAAATGTATTGTTACTTCCACTTAAGCTTAAACATCAAATGCTGTTAAAATATTCAATCAGGGCCGGGCCCAATAAATTTAGGGGCACCAAATTTTTTGTAAGTATTATATATATGTGTGTATGAGAAGCCCACTTTATTTAAAGCTCAGTCCATCCACCCCTTCACTTATTCTTCACCTTATTAGCCCAATCCACTACTCCACTCTTCACCCGACAAAACAAAAAAAAATTGAAGAAAGCCGAACCAAGAAAGGAAGAGAGCTACTGCCGATAGCTGAAGAAAGGACGTCGGACGCCGCCTCCACTGCCGGACGCCGACCTCCATGCCTCCACCCTCCCGGTATTCCATATTTAATTATTCATAGTTTTCCAATTTTTTAATTTTTATTTCTTAAATCTTAATTTTCTTTCATTGTTTCATTTTTTGGATTTAAAGTCTAGGGTTAATTATTACTTTTTAATTTGAAATATTTTCTAATTTCTTTCTTTGAAATAGAATGATATAATGGTTCTATTTGTTATTTATTTGATTTGGATGAATTGATTTGAATTTTTTATTTATGATATATTTATATAAAAAAATTGAAAACTGAAAAAATATTTTGACGAACTGATATTAATTTATGATATATTTATTTATAAACTTGCTTTTTCAATTTTTCATATTTGAGTTTACTAAGTAGTAGAATTTATGAATTTGGATTTAATAATTACGATATGTAATTATAATACTACTACTATAATTTTGGCATTTATTTTTTTCTTCTAATAATTTAAATATAATTAGTTTACATGTGCATTAGGGACACTTAGTTTACAAGTGTGAATTTAAATAATTTTGACACTTTTAGGGCTTTTTTTTTCTGCCCAGGCACATGAATTCTCGGGACCTGCCCTGTATTCAATCATCGGGTTGGCTGTTTGGTTGGTCAGTCCCTACTCCCTTCTGGCCTTTCTCTGTCAACTGGGAATAGTCCACACTAAAGAAGAAGAAGAAGAAGAGCCCGGGGAAGAACGGTGCCTGAATAGTTGATTAATTTTGTTGAAGTTCTGTTCATTTGTTAAATCTAATTGGGAGTCGCGTTCTTCAGATTGCAAGACTTTCATTTCCAATCGAATCATATCATCTGCGATTTGTGTTTAGGTATGGGTTTGCTTCTCTCTCTCTTTCTCTTTCTCTTTTAATTCCTGCGAATTCGATTTCAATGAATTCGCCTGCGAAAAGCTGTTCAGAACTAGGAGAAATGGGTTTGGGTGTTCCAATAATCTGTGTGTAGTACTTCGTTGCTAAGTATCTTGGATTTCCAATAATCTGTGTGTAGTACTGATTTCCAATAATCTGTGTGTAGTACTTCGTTGCTAAGTACTTCGATTGAATATTTTAACGGCGTTTGATGTTTAGGCTTAAGTGGATGTAACAGTACATTTTAAGGGTGGGTTAAGATATTTAAAAAAAGCGAGGGTGCATTTTAGCTTTTTTCTACTTTTTGATGGTGTATTTTGCTTTTTACCCGTTGCAGACCAATTTGAATCTGAGAGAAGGCAAAAATGAGATTACTGAAAGTGGCTACATGCAATCTTAACAATTGGGCTATGGATTTTGATTGCAATATGAAGAACATACAGGTTTCTATTTCTAAGGCTAAAGAGGCGGGAGCTATGATCAGGCTTGGCCCCGAGCTCGAAATCACTGGCTATGGCTGCGAGGATCACTTCCTTGAACTTGACACCGTCTCTCACGCGTAAGCCTCTTTGAAGTTTGCTAATGCTTAGAATATTTTCTGCATGCAGAAAATACTTTGTACAAAATTGATTGAGTTTTAGTTTATGAGTAAAAACGATGTATCCCCTAACAAGTTTGAAATCAAGATATTGTTAATAAATACTTATTGAAATAAAAGTTTATCATGCTTATCCATATTTGTTTTTTCACTTGAGAGGTTGTTTCTAGTACTCACTACTTTGTTGTACAATTCTTTGTGTTCTACTAAGAATGTTCATGCTCTAGTAAACTTGCAGGTGGGAATGCTTAAAAGAATTGTTGCTAGGTGATTGGACCGATGACATATTGTGTAGTTTTGGAATGCCAGTTATCAAAGGATCAGAGCGCTACAACTGTCAAATACTGTGTCTTAACAGGAAAATATTAATGATACGACCCAAGATATGGCTAGCAAATGATGGAAACTATAGGGAACTCCGATGGTTTACAGCTTGGAAGCAGAGATGTCTTGAGGATTTTCAGCTCCCAAGTGATGTTTCTGAAGCTTTGACACAGACAGTTGTTCCATTTGGCTATGGCTATATTCAGTTTTCAGACACGTATGCAATTCTTATCTGTTCATTTTCTATTTATGTTGGTATAAGATATATTTTGATATTGATACAAGGTTCCAATTTCTCAAAAGTTATGGAAATCCTTAAAATTTTAATTTATAGGCCTTTTGTGCTTCTCTCCCCTGCCTGAATGCTACCAAATGTGTACGTATAGTAATATTTGGCTAAGCATTGTGCAATTTATAAAAAGTTCTTTGGTCTAACTTAATGTAAAGAATTTTGTTAAGAATTACTACCTCCGTCCCAGAGTATTTGTCCACTTTCATTTTTACACACCATCCAATACACTTTTTTAATCCATTTTATCTTATAATTTGTATATTAAAAAATTATAGAAATTATATATTAATAATCTATATGTTAAGACAAATCAAACAAGATCACAC